AGCCAATACTAGTCTCACCTGACGAGCTGAGTATACTTGGGCTAATTTTGCTTATGATTTTAACATCTGTTCTTCGTAGGTTCCCTCCCGAGGTGCGAGATAGCAGAGGAGGATTGTGATATAATCAGCCATCTGTACCTGCTGCCTCTTAAGGAACGAAGCTACAAGGAGGTCATTGACAAGAATACCCACTTCGTTTCTCACGGGCTGATGTCGAAACAAGGTAAATGCATCGCTTCCGCCCTCCTTACATTCTACTCTCATTCCATACTCACCCATTCATTCTGCCTGTAGGAGACTTTGCGAAGAAGAAGGTGTCGGAGTATGGCCGAGGCGAAGATGCTGAAGACAAGTTCAGCTGCGTACAAGAAACAGTCAGAACGCTTGTTGTCCCTCAGCAGGGCTTCTCAGCCTGTTGACGAAGACGAGGTGGAGGAAGGAGCCTCCCTCGTGAACAAAAAAAGGGGATGGCCCTGCAGGGGCGTCAGCTTCAGCTTCGACTCAACTTGGGATAACCGTGGCGGCCCCCTCGACCATCCCTCAGGCCATTGTGCCTATAACAGCCTATTTCTCTGATGGCCCCGGCCAAGAAAAAATAGAAAAAACCTATACCCACTTCGGCCTAGGGCAAGGCTACCGATTTCTTGGGGAGCAGAGACGAGGATCTTTCTGAAGCAGTATTGGAAATGCTGCCCCCCAAAACAGCCTCGACCGCATGGATCCATGGGAAGTACTGGACCGAGGACTGGCAAGGACACGCCGCATCGTGTGAGATCGAGGATCTACAGGGTTCGTCTGATTCGTTCCCATCCGCTGCTGGACGGGGTGGATGCTGAACTATTTCAGCCCTATTTCCCCAATCCACTTAACTTCGCCTCTCCCACCTATTTCTAGGAGGGGGGTTCTGGGTTTCTTGGCTTTGTTCTTGCCTATGCTGAAGAGCGGTTTGGCGGGGCTGATCCCTATTTCTAGGTGCCCGTCCGATCCGGTCAAAGACGCTAACAGATCTCTAAGGTTGCTCCTCGTACTCTGGAGGAAAATTGTATTCTCCTGCTGGGGCACTGACTGAGGCGGCAGTATAGTTAGAAGTGTCCATCTCCACTTCTCTTTCAACAGGAGCTTCCCCCTGGGGACTTACGTGAGTTCTCCTGCTGGACTCTGCCTCTACGTGTCTATGAGCGGATTGCTGGGGATATCGCGGGGCTTGAAAACCGCCCTGACTTTGCACTTGCCTGAGAAGCTCTTGTATGGCCGCGTTCTGAGTCGCGATGGCCCTCATGTTAGCAGCCATTTGTGCTACTTCGACTGTTAAACGTGCGGCAGTTCTCCCACCTTGGAGGTAACGGTGGTGAGGTCGTTGTTGATTGACATTGGTACGGATAATCTCTTCTTTAGAGACGTCCGTTGCCTCTGTATTTGCCCCTTCGTTGCTGGAACTCATGTTCCAAAGCGGCTAAAGGATCCTTTTTTCAAGGATCGGTCCCTTTCTCAAATGGGGAATGTCGATCGGATGTTCAAGCAGCTTTTGGTGGGAAAACTCGTGGTTAAGTTAGTTCCCAGAGACGGCGCCAATCTATTGACCTCGAAAAATGGCTAACACGTGGTCAACAAAAAATGTCTTCAAGTCGGCTCCTCCCTGCACACGTGGCACACCGTCAGTCACTCGTGGCCTTTCCCGGAGAGGTTGGGAACGACCGCAAACACTCTGACTTTCAAGTCAACTTGGTGTTTAACCAAACGAAAAAGGGGTTTGCCGGCAATAGGACATTCACCGGGAAATAATTTGAGAATGTGTATATAATAAGGATGCCCACAATATCGGGGAAGAAGATAATACCCGAATGTTCTTCATAGTCGTGTCTTGAATCTCTTTCTCCTAAAAATCCCTCCCTTCAGATATAAGGAGGGAACGTTTATACTAAGGATGGGAAGAGGAGAACCGTTGGATGAGGAGACGCGTGTTGCAAGATCTCCAGAATTCGCCCTATCCAAGGTGTCAATCTGTCCATCCATAGGCTGACTGGCATTTAGTGTCTTCTGACATGACAGCTGAATTGACTGTTTGGGAACTTGTCACACGTCCCATCAGCCAAGGATTTGACTTTGGAAAAATCTGTGTACAAGAGATCTTTGACGACGAGGCGAGGCAGGTGGGGGGTTGCAGTGTTGTGAAAGCGGAGTACTAGCCTTTGCATCCACCGCGTATTTGTGGATGAGTCCGATTCATTGCTGGCGCGTATTCAGCTTATTCCATGAGGCAGTCACTTCAGATCGTCCCATGTGTAACCGCCTCGGCCAATCCATAGACTATTCACGTATGCTGATACGTGGCAGTTAAGGTGAAGGGTCTGACACAGACCCGTAACAACATGTATATGTATACAAATTCTTTCAAATTACAGACTGACTATGATCATTATTCTAAATGAATGGCATTATTCCTCTTATCTACCTATATATATGTGCTTGCTGCCTGAATGGCCAGAAGACAGGTAAATATTCCACTGTACACGGCAAATGAGAGAACTGCTAAAACTTCACTGTACCACAAACATTCTTAATGCCTGAATGATCGACCAATTCAAGTTGGTCTCGAAATTATTTTCACCCTCGTGCAAATGAGGGCCACAAAAAATAATTATAAAATTCAAAATCGAGTTTAACAAAGTACTGTACAATCAACTACCATAAAATTTACCAATAAAACATCCAACAGTCACGTTTGATTTATACATCTACGTCTGAAAAGAACTTGTCAACACTAACGTTAGATTTAAAACAATATGAACTAATGAAAGAGAGAAGATCGACCCGAAGACTCTTCTTAGAACTAAGTGGGAACAACCCCAGCGTAATTTTGAGAAATATGGAAAATAAAGAATCCCAGTACGAGTACCAATATTACTAACTGTACTAAGAAACATGAGGTGTACTTGCATATCCCCATCTCCAGCTTCAATTTCTCATCAGCACAAGCAACGTCTTCAAAAGAATTCACCAACTTCTCGGCTTCTTTTTTAAGAATTGTGGCCTTGTTTTTTGTATTCTCAAGCATGTTCAGCATCAGGACTTGCTCTGAAGCCTGAGTTGTTTTCTCTTGCAGAAGGTTGATTCGATCCACTGATGCAACTCTCAACTTTTGGACAGTTTTTGATATTGCCAAATATTCAACTTCAGCTTCAATTTTCAGCCTAAAGAGGTCCTCAAGTTCTGTTCCTGTGTATTCTCTGTTCGCCGCTTCTTTCAACTCAAGTTTCAGATTGTTAGAAGTGAAATCTGCAGGTAAGTCCTTAAAAGCACCATCTAATGTTCCTACTTCCCTAAACTTGAGTACCTCTGCAGAGATATACCAACGCACTTTAGCAACAGACATACGAGGAACAAAAATGTACACAACAACCAATTTTATAACAATGCAAAGGAACTTCGCTAATCTATGTATCATGTGCATAAGAATAGCAATTAAGTTCTCCACTGGATGCAAAATATTTTTGAAATTGATCGTAAATGAAGTAAAATGCACTACTTAATCCATGTGTTGCATCTTGTGATATCAAATCCTGAACCACCAATAGAACTAAGACAAAAATACACCAACAAAGGAAATGATTTTCAAAAAGGAAAAAGGTATGCGCAATTGTGCTATCAAACCCCAAAGTTATGAAGAGGTCCACCAACTAACAACCGATGCAGCAGCAATGTCACTGACAGTGTCCCCACTTCATGTAAAAAAATGCTTAATACAAAATAAGAAATGTTAACATTCGACAAGCAATGACTTGCATTTGCCAATTAAGTAATGGAAAATATTTAATCCAGGGTTTGCACATTTATTATAGCCTATAGATTTTACTTTCAGGTGTTCATTTTCTCTTATGTGATAGGCAAAATACCTGAAGGATAAGAAACTTGACGAGCCCCCTAGAAATGGTAGAAAAGTTTGAAGCTGGCTGAAGCAATCAGACCTATTCTTGTGTTGGCATTATAACTCAGAAGACTTGCCAACTCACGGAACAAAATTCAGTAATCCAAGTTGGAAAGAAAAAAATCTACAACATAAATTTTCTTCTCAAGACTAAATAGTTCTTTGTATGCTTAAGAAGTAAAGTTTTTCAGGTTCAGCTCTAGATCAAATGCCATAATCCTGATTTTTAAAAAAAAAATTCCTTCTATTTTCTCTTGATTTTCAGAACATTTTTCTTGATTTTTTATATCTCGGGATGTAAGAGATACAGAAGTACAAAATGTATATTTGAACGCCTCAAAAAGGTACAAATATTCTGATGAACGGTCAACAGCAAGGTGGATATGCTAATGCTTTTTGGTCAGCTGTTACATGGTTCCCAACCAAGAGTCTTAACCTTTCATTCTTTCCCTGTGGGGATCACGGTCATGTGGAACAAAACACTCTCTTTTTTCCCCGGATATAGAAAAGGATGCAATAACTTCAACCTTGATATCTATAGTACATTTATATCCCAAGTACAGAAAGGAAGATGGCGAACTTTTTCTTAAATTATGCATCTAATTTTTGGACAGATTAATTTGCAAGAAAAACCAGGAGCTGGAGCAAGACCATCTCAAAAGGTTATAGATGTGAACAAAGTTTAAGGTTATAAATGTGAACAAAGTTTTTGGAATATTTATGCAAGCGCGTGTTGATATTAACATTAATTTACGTCAGGAAGCAACACAAAAATTTTATGCACAAAAATATTAAGAAAAAGGGATAAAGCTTTTCATTAACCATTTGTACTAATTATCGGAGACGTGCCTCATCTAAAGATCACAAAGTAATGGATATAAAAAGAAATAACAATTAAAACTAGGATAATTATCAAATTGTACAGTTTAAGAAGACCAACAGACCTTTTTCTAGTGCTTCTTTTGCTGATTGGAGTGTATAGATAGATTGAACTAGAGGATCAAGATCTGCTGACCCGTGGTTCTCATTTCTTTCTCCTCTAACCTCCCAAGAGGAGTCATCAATCGTATCTTCTCGAGAGACATCTTCAAATTGCCTTTCACCGGTATGAAGTTGATCACTGTTTCCTCCCTCATAGTACAATGACCTTCCACTTTGAATCCCATTACTTGTTGCAAAGACATTTCCCTGCATAAAAATAAAGTTGGAGCTTCGACAGTCAGATTCTAAGCTGGAATGAGAGTTTTCCTTCTCGATTTTGACCTGCTTCCCTCTAGCCTTCTTACTGATCTCAACCCCACCATTTCCTTTCTGACCATGCTGCAGTGAATTATCAATTTCTTCCAACTTGAACCCCCTGTCCCGCTCCTGAGCAGAACACCAGCAACAACAGGAAGCTCTTACATCATCTTCGGTGCGCTGGATGCTGCGGAGAACTTCCTAATTTGGTCCGTGCAATTTTGTGAATCCACTGCGGAAGTAAAAGCCGGGCCAATCACTAACCCAGAATCGCCAATCACCACAAAATCATTAATCCAAAGCAATCATTGGTGAAACATACCCCCCAACAATTTTGCTTCCTCTCAGTAAAAAAACTGCATCCCTTTAGTCAAATTTCTGCTAGTATCAACTCTATTGTCAGCACCATTATTTACTTCCCTCTTGATCCTGCTCCATTTCTTCAAGACATGCCCTTTCTTCACTGCAGGGAACGGAGACACTTCCTTTTGCACCTCCACAGGAGGCAAACTTATAGACCCTACAACTTCAATTCCCTTTACGGTAGATGACTCGTTATTTTTCACCACACAATACTCATTGCTAGGAACTTTCGTTTCATCGCCATTACTTGTTCTATCCGAGACAGATATGGCAGTAATTGCTTCATTGTTAAGCACCGAAGACTCACTTTCCAAATCCATTAACCGTAAATTTCAGCAAATTTATTTGCGTAAACGTATTCAGATCAAAATCGAGAAGTAAATATCATTCCAGCTCATGGATACTTGAATATGCCGGAAATTATCCAGAAGAAAATCAAATACCTTCCAGTGGAATTAAGTCCCGATTCATTCCCCCGGAATTTTATTTGGAGTGGGGTAATAATAAAGTGGAAAACGACGAAAATAAAATACTTATTCAAAATAATAGAGAAAAATTTAGCGTACCTTGGGCTCCATAAATTAGCTTTGAAATTTTGAGAGAGAGAGACTCAAGAAAACGGTAGCTTAGATGGTGGGTGGATTTGGCAATTTACATTTACACCTGTAAAATTCGTTGATTTGACTGATTCTTGATGATGAAATTATAAGAATTACAATACTTGTGAATTTTATAAGAAATTACAAATGGAAAAGCCCTTTATTCTTATGGATTATGCTGAACGTGGAGAGTTGTGGAGATGAAAGGGCCCACGAATACAGGAAGGCGGTGAGTCCTTGTCCGTTGATCTGGAACACGCTGATCCGAGTTGGCCAGCCAGATGACGGAGAAGGTCGTTCCATTTTAATAAAATCTAGCCCCGGTTTAATCCTCCTTATCTGAAAATTTACTTTTTTTTCAAATTAAAATTCGAAATTTATTTCTACCTTAAACTCATTTTCAACAAAAACAAAATGAAGTTCAAACTAGTCTTTAGATTTTGTTTGTTCCGCCTCAAAACCGAGGCTCAAGAAGAAGTCCACACCTCAAAACCGAAACACTAAGTGGTCGAACCAATGAAATTGAAGCGTAGGCAAGTGATTAAAGCCCTGAGTCGAAACACTATATAAGTGGTTGAAACTCTGAAACCAAAACACAGTATAAGAAGTCAAAAGAATAATTCGAAGACTGAAGACCTCCAATACGAAACTCCCTTTAGTCGAAGCCCTCGCTCCAATTCAAAGTTCCATTTGGCTGAAGCCCTTGCTGTCTTTTAGAGTATCTACAGGCAATCTTTATGATTGATTGATATAACATTTGTAATAATGAATGTCAAGATTATCAACTTATGTTATAGGGTGGCTAACTCGTTGTCAATATATTAAATGCATAACAGATTGAGTGATGTGAGACTTTGACCTAAGAGATGAGGCAACATTGTTTCTATCCAACGATAAAATCTTCAAAAAATGAATATGTTGAGATAGAAATCAATTTGTAAGACCCCCTGAAAGGGGGAGATCTCCAACGAAAAGGTCATGAATAAGAATACCCCCTGAAAAGGGGAAGGTCGTTGAAGAAGTGGCCTTTAATAAGTAGACTTCTTGAAAGTGGGAGGTCTCCAATAAAGAAGCAATGAATAAGAGGACCCCCTGGAAAGGAGAGATCACTGAAGAAGCGACTTTAAATAAGTAGACCCCCTGAAAAGGGAGGTCTCCTAAGAAGAGGTCGTGAATAAAAGGACCCCCTGAAAGGGAGAGGTATCCGAAGAAGAGGTCATAAATAAAAGGACCTCTTGAAAATGGAGAGGTCGCTAAAAAAGTGTCCCTGAATAAGTAGACCCCTTAAAAGGGGAAGGTCTTCGAAGTATAGGCCATGAATAAGAGGACTCCTTGAAAGGATAAGGTCGGTTAAAAAATAGCTTTGAATAAGTAAACTCCCTAAAATGGGGAGGCCGCCGAAGAAGTGGTCTTGAATAAGTAGTCCCCCTGAAAGGAGAAGGTCTCCAACGACGAGACCATGAATAAAAAGAACCCCTAAAAAGGGGAAGGCCGCTGAAGAAGTGACCTTGAATATCAGATTCAAATCTAAAGAAGAGGCCTCCGGAAAGGGAAGTCTTTGATGAAGAGGTTATTAAAGACCTTTTTACAAAAGGGGGCCTTTGAAGAAGAGGTCATAAAATGGAGCAACATTGAAAAATGGTGCATCCATCAAGTGATTAGCAAAAATTTTCAAATTGAAGGGGAACAATGCAAAAGAAGAGAAAATAATTAAAAGCGTACAAAAATGTGAACTTAGGGATTGAAGTGTAGATGTTTCGAAAGTTAAAGGACTTTAAATGTAATTTATCGAGGGTATGATTGAAATAAAAGTTAAAATATGAGGATCAAACGTACACAGTTAAAAGTTGAGGGACCCAGGGTGTGATTATTGAAGGACTTGAATGCAATTTTCATATTTGCCTACACACAAGCATGACCTTCCACATGTTCACCATATAAGGCCCATCTTCGCCTATACATCAGCCCCTATGGATGAACTATCCACCATGGAAGAACCCTTGATGTCAATAAGCCACTCTCATGCAAAGAAGTAATCCACTTCAAAAGGAAATGTGAGAAAAACGACAATAAAGGTTTGCCTCAGACACCTATAAAGATGAATTTCCCATGGATGAAACCGAACAACATGGGAGAAGCCTCTACATAGATGAACCATCCATCATGTAGTGAAATGTAAGCGCTTCAGAGAAAAGATGGATCCCAAAAGAGACCACCTCCAAATTCTCTAAATTTGACATCATAAGCCTCTCTTGGATGAAGTTGAACACCATCGGAGAAGTCTCTGCATGAATGAACCATCCACTATGTAGGGAAGCATGAGTGCCTCGGAGAAGGGTCTACCTTCAAATTCTCTAAGGTTGACATTATAAGCCTCCCAGAGATGAACACTCGGAGAAGAGGTAGATCACAAAAGGGACCACCTTCAAATTCTTCAAGGTCGGCATCATAAACCTCCCGTGCATGAAGCTGAAAGCCATGTGAAAAACCTCTATATGCATGAACCATCCACCATGTAGGGAAGCATGAGCGCCTCGGAGAAGATGTGGATTCCAAAAGGGACGACCTTCAAATTCTCTAAGGTTGACATCATAAGCCTCTCATGGATGAAGCTAAATACCATGGGAGAAGTCTCTGCATGGAAGAACCATCTACCATGTAGGAAAGTATGAGTGCCTCGAAGAAGAGGTGGATCCCAAAAGGGACCACCTCTAAATTTTCTGAGGCTACATCATAAGTCTCCCATGGATGAAGGTGATCATCATAGGAGAAGCCTCTACATGGATGATCCACCATGTATGGAAGCATGAACGTATCAGAAAAGAGGTGGATCCCAAAAGGGTATTACCTTCGAATTCTCCAAGGTAAACATCATATGCCTCCCATGGATGAAACTGAACACTTGGGTGAAGCCTCTGTATGGATGAATCATCCACCATGCAGGGAAATGTGAGCGCTTCTGAAGGAAGTGTAAAAAAAGAAGCTTACATCCAAACCTCAAAAGATGACCCTAAAAAACGCTTCATCTCTACTTCAGCATAAACATCGAATTTCAGCAAATTAAAGCATAACTTCAGCACCTCATAGCCTCGTCTCTGCATCAAATTTCAACTAAACTAAAGCATCATTGCAGTCTCTTAAGAATAACTCAACATTCACATCAAAGCTTCTACAAAAATAAAAGCTTTCAATGAAAGTGTAATAGTAAACGGAACCACCAAATCAAGCAAAAGACATGCCACATCAGAATATTGCTTCTCAAAATAAGAAGTCAACACATGACATAAATAATCATATTTAGACTTGGGAGACTATTATTACGCCTCAAAATCGAGGCTCAAGAAGAAGCCAATCCTCAAAACCGAAACATTATGTAAGTGGCCAAAGCCCTAAAGCCGAGAGTAGGCAAGTGGTTGAAGCCCTAAACTGAAGCACTATCTAAGTGGCTGAAGCTCTGAAGTTGAAACGCTATTTAAGAAGTCAAAGAAGAAGTCGAAGCTCTCTGTCCCAAAGCTCTTGACAGCGAAGACCTCCAATATGAAGCTCTCTTTGACCGAAGCCCTCACTCTAATCTGAAGCTCCCTTTGGCTGAAGCCCTTGCTGTCTTTTAGAGGATCTGCAGGCAATTTTGAGAAATGATTGATGTAACATTTGTAATAATGAATGTCTGGATTGTTAGCTTAGGCTATAGGGCAGCTGACCCGTTGTCAATGTATTAAATGCATAGCAACTTCAGTGATGTAAGACCTGGGAAATGAGGCCATGTGATTCCTATCCAATGGTAATCACTTCAGCCAGAACTTTATAAATAAGCTATTGTAACATTTGAAGCTAATGTAACTTTTACACTTGAAACTACATTCAATCTTCACTATCGCTTATTCCATACTTGTTTACTTGAGTTTAGATTATTTCCACTTTGGTTGAGTTGTTTATGATTATTTGTTTATACGCAATCATCTTTGATCATATTATAGGCCCGATATCTATTGTCCACTTGACCATTACAAAAAACAAGGTCAACATTATTCAAGATTGATTGGTGCATTACCCTTATCATTGAGGCATGTTGTGCAAAATCCCCCAGCTTTTGAAATTTACTGGAAAACATACTTTTATGAAACTTGGGGTGTGTTTTACCTTCCTGCCTTCATTTGGGTGGTTATGTTACCATTACAATAAGTATTTGGTACACCAATTTTTTTTTTAATTTACTTAACTAATCGCAAGAAAAATGACATAAGTATCCAATTTATTATTCAATGATATAATAATTCATTCCATCCTCATCATCGTACACCACAAAAGATATATAACTCCTATTTAAAGATACAATGCAAAGATTTATATAGGAAAATATCCCAAGATTGAACAAAGCCGCGACTCTCATCGATTTCTTCAATTTTATTGGAATTTGAAAGGGGCAAATGGATACAATTCTGAATCTTGAAGCAAGGGAAACTTCTTCTATCGTAATATTATATTCGTCTAGCAACCATTAATTTAGCATTTTAATACGACTAAGCCCTATTTGTTGGTCATTATTTTCGGAAAATGAAGTTTTGAATAGTGATTTTTTGAAGAACTTATGGTTAAAAAGTGGAGAAAAATTTTGAGTTCACGTGTCAAATATTTTATTGTGTCAATATATTATTAAAAATAAATATAAAAATTAAAAAATTTTAAAATAATGGTCGTAAACATGGGCTAAGAGTGTAAACCATTTTTGATACCATGGAAAATATTCTAGGAGTGGCTATAGTTTTTTATTGAAGACTGAGCCGGTAGATAATAGTACTAGTTCAAATGGACTCGCATCATGATGGAAGGGGGCACGCCAAGATTGAAATTATCTCGTGATGGTTGTGTGCTTCTGGATGACTACATAGCCATGGGAGGTTTAATTCGCGATGGAGGGCAAGTTTTCTTCAAAAGATGTTGAAGGTTTAGCACTACGTTATGTACC